TTTTTGCAGTTTTTGGCCGGGGCTGGGTTTGAACCTGCCACCTTCAGAATATGGGGCCTGTGTCCTACTCCTTTGAGCCACAGGCGCTGCCTTAATTTTTTAATTTATTTGTAGGAATGGGTCTCACATGTTGGCGCAGGTTAGTCTCAAATTCCTGGCCTCAAGCGATCCTCCCACCTCACCTTCCTAAAGTGTTGGAATTATAGGTGTGAGCCTTTATACCCAGCCTGTTATATCTTGAAAACACACAGCTGATTAAAAAAAAAAATCCTAATGCAGAGGGACTTTCCAAAAAGGCAGGTTGTTTCAGATCAGAAAAGATACTGATAGACTGATCTTCCCTGGCACAGGATTGGAGGCTGTCGTCATCGGAGAAGTTCGTGAGAATGTTACCCTGCACTGTGGCAACATCTTGGGACCAAGGGGCCTGGTGACCTGGTACCGGAACACCTCAGGGCCCGTGTTCCTTCTCTCCTCCAATTCCAGCCTCCCTCCAGCCTCACCTCGCTTCTCTCTGGTGAACTCCAGCTCCCTGCACATTGAGGCGCTGAGCCTGCAAGATGAGGGCAACTATACCTGCCAGGAGATCCTGAATGTGACTCGGTGGTTCCAAGTGTGGCTGAAGGTGGCCAGTAAGTGGGGCTGGTGGGAACTAGGGCTGGAGACGTACTTAGGGCCTTGGACACGAGGACATGGACAGGAGCATGGGCTTTGGCATCGGATGACCAGGATTTCTTTTTGGGCACTGCCACTTGTAAGCTGAGTGACCTCTTGAATTTGTATTTCCTCACTTGTTAGGGGGAACAGAAAAGAATTTCTGCCTCATGAGATTGCCGTAAAGAATAGATACTGGTTTATAAAGTGCTCTAAATGGCTCCTGGTGCATTAGTTAGCTTTTATTTTTAGCATGTTGTTAATTATCATCCTTGCTAATAGTATCATTTTATTATATCACAGAGGTATAGTATAACATAATTGAAGCTTGGTATGGAGTACCTGCCTGTAATCCCAGCTACTCAGGAGGCTGAGGCAGGAAGATTGCTTGAGCCCAAGGCTGTTGTGTGTGATGATCACACCTGTGAATGGCCACTGCACTCTAGTTTGGGCAACATAGCAAGACCCCATCTCTTTTTTCTTTGAGACGGAGTCTTGCTTTGTCGCTCTTGGTAGAGTGCCCTGGAGTTATAGCTCACTGCAATCTCAAACACTTGGGTTCAAGCATTTCTCTTGCCTCAGCATCCCAAGTAGCTGGGACTACAAGTGCCTGCCACAACGCCTGGCTATTTTTAGAGATGAGGTCTCACTCTGGCTCAGTCTGGTCTTAAACCTGTGAGCTCAGGTGATCTACCCGCCTAGTCCTCCCAGAGCGCTGGGATTACAGGCGTGAGCCACCACACCCTGCCAAGACCCTATCTCTTTAAAAATTAGTATAATTGAATCAGACTGCCTGAATTCCCGAATCCTAAGACCATCACTTAGTTCTGTGTCACCTTGAGTCAGTGGCTTAATATCTCTGAGCTCCAGTTTTCCTCATGTGTTAATTGCGGATAATACATGGCATGCCTTGTCAGGACAGTGAGTGCTCCTATGCCATAGTGCTAAGCCAGGGCTTGGTGCAAGCTCTCCTCACTACTGTGCTTCCCTAAAACAGTCTACCATATCTGCTACATGTGTGTATGAATTTAGAGCAGAAGTTTGCAAAGTACAGCCTACGGGCCATATCTGGCCTGCTGCCCTTTTTTTTTGTATGGCCTGCAAGCTATGAATATTTTTTTACATTTTTAAATGGCTGAGAAAAATCAAAAGAAGAACAATATGAAGAGAAAATTATATGGAATTCCAATGTCAGTGTTCCAATAAGGCTTTATTGGAATACAGCCACATTTGTTCATTTATATGCCTTTGTTACTAATGATGGCTGAGGTGAGTGGCTGTGACACAGATCTTATGACCTGCAAAGCCAAAAAATAGTTGCTGTTTGGGCCTCTGTAGAGAAGTTTGCCGGCCCCTGGTTTAGAGGGACTTCTGTGTTCTAGATCCAGGCATGTGGTTTAGTACCATACCCGTGTGACCACATTATTGTTCTGAACCCAATTTTATTTTATTTTATTTTATTTTTTGAGACAGAGCCTCAAGCTATCCCCCTGGGTAGAGTGCCGTGGCTTCACAGCTCACAGCAACCTCCTGGGCTCAAGCGAGTCTCCTGCCTCAGCCTCCCAAGTAGCTGGGACCACAGGCGCCTGTCACAACGCCCGGCTATTTTTTGGTTGCAGTCGTCATTGTTGTTTGGCGGGTCTGGGCTTGGATTTGAACCCGCCACCTTAGGTGTATGTGGCTGGCGCCTTAGCCACTTGAGCCACAGGCGCTGAGCCTGTTCTGAACCCAATTTTCCTCATCTATAAAATGGAAAATGTACTCATTCCTTTATTCAACATATATATATATATATATATGTGTACAGACACACACACACATATATATTTTTTGAGACAGAGTCTCACTTTGTTGCCCTTGGTAGAGTGTGATGGCTTCATAGCTCACAGCCACCTCAAACTCCTGGGCTCAAGTGAATCTCTTGCCGCAGCCTCTAGAGTAGCTGGGACTACAGGCTGCTGCCACAACGCCCAGCTAATTGATTTTAGAGATGGGGTCTCGCTCTTGCTCAGGCTGGTCTCAAACTCCTCAGCTCAAGCAATCTGCCTGCCTTGGCCTCCCAGAGTGCTAGGATTACAGGCATGAGCCATTATGCCCGGCTATTCAACATACATTTATTGAGAGCCTGGTGCCAGACGTGGATCTAGATGGTAGGCCACTGGTGTGAACAAGACAGTGAAGGTCCCCACCCCCACGGAAGGAGCAGCCTAGTCGGTGAGGCAGGTGAGAAACAAGTAAGCAAATGTATCGGGCAATATCAGAGAGACAAGTGTGAAAACAGAGAATGAGATGGGTGAGGTGATTCTCTGATTTAAATTAGGGGGTCAGAGAACACCTTTTGGTAGTAGTGACATTTAGCTGAGTGGTAAGTAGGAACCAGTTGCGCAGAAGAGAGAGCCTTGCACTGGTGCAGGACGGGTTGAGTGTGGTGCATTGGCAGATGGGGAGATGGCTGGTATGGCAGGGTCCTAGTGTATGGGACAGCAGCCATGTGAAATGTGGGAGACCAGGCCAGACTGTGTGGGCGGGTAGGGCTGGTGTTATGGGTTGAATTATGTCCCTCCAGAAGATATGTGGAAGTCCTAACATCTGGTACTACAAAAGTGACCTTATTTGGAAACAGGGTCTTTGTGTATATAATCAGGTTAAGATGAGATCCCTAGGGTGAATCTTGCTGGACTCTCATCCTTATGAAAATTGGGAAATGCCGTGTGAAGGCAGAGATGCATGTGAAGAATGTCATATAAGGACAGGGGCAGAGACTGCAGCAGTGCAGCTGCAAACCAAGGAATGCCAAGCATTGATGGCACGGCCAAAAGCCAGGGAAGAGGCCAGGAAGGGTCCCCCCCCCAGAGCTTACAGAGGGAGCATGTCCCTGCGGACACCTTGGTTTCAGACTTCTGGCCACCAGAACTGTGGAAGAATCAATTTCTGTCATTTTAAGCCATCCATTTGGGGGTGTGTTGTCGAGGCAGTCCTAGGAAACTAATGCCTGGTCAGGACTTGGGATTTGATTCCTGGTGTGGGAGGAACTCCTGGAGCTTCCAGCAGGGATGTGGCACCATTTGATTTCCACATGGAGAATACGTGTGTGTGGTTTCAAGAAGAGCTGAGGACATAAAAACGGGGAAGCCTTGGCTTGGCGGCCGTAGCAAAGTGGTTACAGGGCCGGCCACATACACCGAGAGTGGCGGGTTTGAACTCGGCCCGGGCCAGCTAAACAATAAGGACAACTGCAACAAAAAATAGCTGGCGGGCATCTGTAGTCCCAGCTACTTGGGAGGCTGAGGCAAGAGAATTGCTTAAGCCCAAGAGTTTGAGGTTGCTGTGAGCTGTGACGCCACGGCATTCTACCAAGGGTGACATACTGAGACTCTATCTTAAAAACAAAAACAAAACAGGGAAGCCAATTGGAGGTATAACATCTTGGTGACCAGAACAAGGGTGGCAACAGCAGCTTTGGGGAAAAGGCACAGGTTTAGAAAATATTTTGGAGGTTGACCAGTAGGACTGGCTGGTGGATTGGAAGTAGAGGATGAAGGAAGAGAGGTTTTGAGGACAGTTCTAGATTCTTAGGAACTCGAAGGTGTCGCCAATTTGCAAAGTTTATGGAATCCGGGAGTGTCGTGTTCCTATATATAGAGATATTATCAGTGAATTTTGGAATGTACAAGAATGAATGGGGGTGTGTGAAAAATTGTCACCCACCTTGGCCTGGCCTCCACTGTGAGCCTCTGGCAACTGCTGCTGGGTTCTGTCAATTCAGGCTGCCCGATAATAATTAATAATCCCTCCAAGTCCATCTCATTAGTAAATATCTTCTCTCTTGACCACAGGGGGACAAAGTGGCATGACAACTTTGTGTCTTCATCATCACTCTCCCGTTTATGGTCCTGTGATCTGACACTGGTTTATTAATCACTGGCTGAGTTTATTGGAGGATGGATTGTTTCATTATTGCCCTGCGGGGAGATAAATTCGAGGTCTCGTTACAATGAACGTGAACTTAGATTTTTAAAACTGTCAGTGAACTCTGGCACTTTGCAGTCTCTGAAAGGAAGTGTGTGTGTGTGTGTGTGCATGAGTGACTTACTGTGATGTGATTTTTATTGAGGAAACTTCTTCATTTGGGAATATACAGGGTTCCTGACTGGTGTAGACCTTGTCTGTGAAGGTAAGACATAGACACCCAAAACCCCTTGCTTATTTAATTTCTTCTTTCTTTCTTTCTTTCTTTCTTTTTATTGTTGAGATAGAGTCCCACTCTGCCCTGAGCAAAGTGCAATGGCGTCGGAGCTCACTGCAACCTCAGACTTGGGCTGTGGGCATTCTGCTGCCTCAGCCTCCGGAAGCCACTGGGATTATAGGCGCTCCCTGTGGCATCCAGCTGGGTTTTTCATTTTTTTAGGAGTCAGGGTCTCACTCGTGCTCAGGCAAGTCTTGAGCTCCTGAGCTCAAGCAATGCTCCCTCCTCAGCCTCCCACAGTGCTGGGATTGTAGGCGTGAGCCACCGCGCCCGGCCACCTTAGCACCTTGGTTCACATACAGCAGAGCCCTCTAGGATCTCACTCCTTGTTCCCATTCCAGGAGGGGCCTGGGCATCTCTCATTGGAACGTGGCTTTTATTTTTGCATAGATAATTTGGGAATTGAGATTAAATTTGATCCAACCACTGTTTTGGGCAAGGGATGGTGATACTGCTGAGTGGCTGAGAATATATACTGTGAGGTCCAGATGCCTGGGTTCGAGTCTGGCTCCTGCTGGCTGCTGTCCTTGTGAAGTCCCTTAAACTCCTCCAACCTTAGTTTTGTTATCTGTGAAATCAGGGGCACTGGTGGCACCTCGTCAGAGATTTGCAGCATGTCTTAGCGTGATAAACTTGTGCAGCCCTCGGCTCACTTACGTAGGTGGTCCATGTCTCCTTGATATACTGGTTAAGCTGGTGATGGGATTTCCCTGGGATAGTGCATCTCAAGTT